GAAGTTTAAGCGATTCGGGGATAGATGAATGTTCACATGGTGAAAGAGTCAAATAAGTGAGTGGGAGTGGTAATTCACACCCACTGGAAGGTAATTTTTGTGAGAGCGCAGTTCCGTTCCCCCCAAAAACAATGAAATGTTGAGAGTTAGTGGCATATATCTCTTACTCGTGCCCTTTTATCACCACTGAAGGTTATCTTAATGACGTGGATCTTCGAAGTTTTGAGTTAAATCCCTTGTTCGTCTGGCATTTCAAATCTCCAGATAATTCGGCAAGTTTTCATCATAGTTCACATTCCTCATAAACTACTGATGTCTTCATAATGCAACTATTCCAAATATTGGTGGAAAAAACAACGAAAACAGGTGTGGCCTCCGTACCTTTGTGGTTGGAAATGGTTTATATTTTAAGAGGTTCTGTTGTGTCCATAGTTTTGGTAGCAGTACTGATGGTACTTTTTACAACACCTTCCTACAGCGCGGAGTTAAGCCGTCCAATGAACTCAGTTAAAGTTTGACCGACGTGCCTCCCCAGGTAAACTGCTCCATATCTAAGCATACCTTATCATAAAGAAGTTCTACCTGGTGACCATGCTGAAAAGCTTAATCGACACCGTTGCAGTTGTATTTTCTAACTCACAGACAGTTTTATTTTTGAACCACGTGTCTGTGCACGAAATGTCGAGAATTGCTAATTTTTACAGGTATTGCTTTGAATGAAAAATGTTTTCTGCTCGAGTTGATTCTTCCAGACAGAATTCCGACCCTTTTTCTGAAAATATTCTTGTGGATTCTCGGGTACTTAACAGCCGCACCTAATCAATCATTCCTTTCCCTGTGTGGTACTTTTTCATACCAGGGGCATTGTTGAGGTACTTTTTTTATTTTGATATAATTTTTTATTACATGACAGCATCACAGATTTATCGCGCCCAATCATACTTTGATACTATTGCAATGTAGTTTTAGACTCCCCGTGATTGAACAAATCTGAGGGAACTATGCAGAATGACCCGGTTACTCCCCTTGATAGTAGTAAGTTGGCTCCGTTGAGCGGTCTCCAGCATTCAAGGTAAAATACTTGGATTTTGTAGCAGCACTTGATTCTTCCAGGAGATTCTGTACTAAATTGGACCGGGTGAATCAGCAAGTTTATCGCGAAAATTTGGAGAAACTGAAGGAGGAGGGTGTTTTCAACGGTGATATGTCCGATGAAGGGGACGTTGCGTAAACTGTATCATGTGATCTACATCGCAATAAATTAGAACATTGGTGCTGAGCTAAAATTGTACTGCTGGTATAACCAGAAGACATACCGTCCTGGCGTCAATTATCAGTTCCTAGCGTTGGAGACGAAATATGGGGAGCGAATTAAGTCGAAGAAAAGTGTCGTAGACTGATAAACTATTAGTTAACCTGGCGATAGGAGGCGAGCCAGAATTCTCGGTGACACATTAGAAGACGATGGGCATAGCGGCAGTCCCACACAGCGTTATAATTTTCATGCCTTCGTTTGTAGTTATCAGCTTGCCTATCAATGGAGCGTTCCATGAGATCCTAGAGGTGCTGGCTTACGATGGACAGCTGGGTGTGGGGTTATAGGTTACGGTCATAAATCATGAGCGGGTGAGAGAAGTATAGCTTTTGATTAAGCGTGAGGTTTTCTGTGTGCACCAGTCAGTGACGCAGGATATGTGTGTGGGGAGCTGGTTCACACGAAACGGTTTAGTAGTGCATGCATTCGCTTTGAGTAGACATGTTCGGGGCAGGTGACTCCTGGGTTGTTTTCCAAACAGGTCTGGTGTGGACGCACTGAGATGGTCGTGAAGTGTGTTTTGCACTATTGGGGCTTCCTGGTGAAACTTGACGACGAGCACCTTTAAACTCATCTGGTGAGGAATGCTTCTTAAGCTTTTTCCGAGAAACTTTCTGCGCCAAATATGTGTCAGTGAAATCTGTCGTGTCGTCTAGACTTGGCGTTCCAACAGGATGCCTGCACGGAACTTTTTCGCGTTTCAAAGTGGTCTTCCTCATTACTAATTGTGTGTTTTGATTAGATATGGAGATGTGCGCGTCTTGAATTTCGTCTAGATCAAAAGACATATTTTTACCATAGTTTCGAAACCCAAGAAGTCTCAAGTTTTATGATTCGTCAACGCAATATTATTCAGCTTGATTATTGGTGTGGACGAAACTTTCAAGCTGCTCGTAGTTGCTGCACTAATGTGACTGATGGTTTCTTCATCAAACTATGTGATCAAGATAAAACTAGAAGTACCTTCTCTCTCAGCATCCCTGGGGCTCCAAGGAACACATTTTCGGAAGTTGCAGCCCATAGGGAATTGGGGATTTAGCAGGCATACATAAAATCAAGGGACTAATTTGGTAGTTATTGTTACTGGCCGATTGCATTGGCAGGGGGATATCAGCAAGAATATCTAATAATTGACGCCACCTCAGAGATTGGCGTTGGGAGTCAAGGGTTTGATGGTAAGAAGCGAAGACTTCTATCAGGCGGGTAAACAGACACGACGTTTAAAAATGCAAAATAAACAATAACCAACAGCAAAATAATAGCTTATCAGCCCTGTTGAGAAACTCCACGTAAGCTACAAACGTATCGCGATATCTGAACAGTACATTTTCCTCCGTGAGAAATTATACCGAAAAAGCGCATCATATTGAATGGGAATATGAAGCTCAAGAAATGGATGGACCAGCATGCAGAACAAGTGACAATTTCCAAGTGGGTAAAATATTCCAGCTGCTCATTGGGCTTCTCTCTATTGGTATATATGAAGACACCTTGACCTACAACTTTTGAGGATTGAGACATCCAGATGTTCTTTAGGAAGTTTGAAGGGCCTTGGGGACGAGAAGACGGGTGGGAGCTTTTGATTTTGGAGGCAACCGTGGTGGCCAGACGAAGGCAGTCTGCAGGGCAGCAGAAGACTAGGTGGATAGTACAGGGGAATGGATGTGACTTATTCAGGCTTCTGTGTTGTATTCCACCAAGGCGGAGAAAAGTTCAACAATATCATGGGTTGACCCAGTTTTGCCAGTTCTTGTCCACTGTCTTTTGATAAGGTGTGGAAAGCGAAAAAATATGAAAGGTCTTCATGAAGTAACTTATTTCAGCCTGAAAATGTGGTTCTCAAGGAAGACCATAGTTTCAGGTCTTATTTGTTTACGACAACTATTTGTTGTTTCTTAGAATGGTTGACCTATCTATTTGTTTTACTGTGGCAATTTTGACCCTGGTTATCTTATGCCGCACTGTGCAGTTATGGATTAGTAATGAGGATAGGTTGGTAATTTGTTCGTATGAAGTGTCTGTAATATGTGTTGAACCTCTCCAAAAACAAATATGCCACAGCTTCTTGACAAGTTGGTGCTTTCTTGGACTTTTTGTCCTAAGTATTTACCATTATAATTGCCCAATTATTTCTACTCACCACCCACTACTTTGCATGCTGATACTCCTACTTTATCTACTAACTCTTTTATAGAAACTATACCCATGTTCTCTTTTTTTACCTACTACCTTGCTATTCTTATTTAGGCACCTGCACATACAGGATTCACAGCAGACCTTCAATCTTCCTCTAGTCAGTTGATAAATTGCAATTGGCTTATCGGAGCCAAAAGAAAAAAAGCAAAAAGATTTGTTGGTCGACTGAAAGAGAAAAACGAAAAACTCGAACAAAACCCTAAGAACTTGAAGCGAGAGGTCAAAAACTATCAGTATTCTATGCTCGCACCATCGATTTCTGATTTTCCCATTTTTGTTATTTTGGGCAGTGAAAAAGAAAATAGGCCATTAGTCGATGCTTGCCCTTGAAATAATTATCTCTATGAAGGTCCAGCTCTTCCTTGAATGCGATCATCGAAGGAGCTGCCACCACTTGTTCAGTAGACTGGTTCAAATCATTGACCGTTGAGTAGGAGAGCCGGTACTGCCCTAAAATCGAACGCTTATACCTAATTTTCATAAGTTTACATTATTTGAAATGTGAATTTTTTCGCGCCTTTCTTCACCTCACGCGTATCACTCAGTGTATCCGCTTTTTGAAACGTTATTTTCCTATTGTTTTCAATATTCTAACTTGTATGTTCACCCCAAAGACTGACATTGCATACAAACGTAAGAGTTGCATCCTTATATGCATACTTTCCGATTGAGGTAAACTCTTCAATCCAATATTATCTAATAGAGTTGTCGAATATCGTGTCATTCATTCAATAACTAAATAACGCGTCGCTTGGTAACCGCATCCCAGAATCTCAACAATATTGATATCAGTTATCTTTGGAAAGGGTCGGTAAAAGATTTCTGTTCCCTCTTGTGCATGCTTTTGAACAGAGTTTGCGTTTATATGCCTCTAAATGCATGTAAAAACTATATCAACAAAACCATTGTGGGTGCAGCTTCATAATGAGAACAATAGGACTACCGTCAGAGAAACTGGCTAACTCTCGAACAATGCTTTAAAAGAGCCAGCGTGACGTTTCTCAGTGACTGTTCTATACCAATTTCATCTTAAATCCCTCTTTCAAGATTTGTTGCTGATTAGTCTAGGCACTTGTTTTCCAACCTATGGCTTGCTGGTTCGAACCCAGCTGCGCCTATGTTAATGCGAGCAGCCAGATAGTATCATTAGCCCTCACATAGTAAATGTGGCTTATTGTCTACTGTATGGATGGGTAGTAGATCGTTAAATTGATTTCAATTTACTCCTCCAAATCTATGTATTGGACTCTTCATTATTACAGTTATCACAATTGGTGTTTTTTATTGATGCTTCAGTCAGTTAGCCATGAGTGCCACCTTACTTATACTACTGTGTTCTTAATTTGTTTATAAATGTTTTTCTAATAAGCTGCAAAGCTGAACACTTTTAGCTATACTGTTGTTTTGTTTCTTGACATATACCGGATAGATGTCTGTCGTAAACACCCAGTAACCAACCTCTTCTACACTTGTTACTATGCTTTTTGTAGATGGAGACTGGAGACACAAGTGTAAAAGTTGGTATACGTATCCGACCGCTCTCAGACAATGAAGTTACTGATGGCTGTTCCACTTGTTTATCATATCCTAATGAAGAGGGTCGGATAATAATTGGGAATGATAAGCTCTTCGGTTTTGATTTTATTTTCAAAGAGACGGATTCTCAGGAGTTTGTTTATAAGAAGGCAGCGCTCCCAATGGTTGACACTGTCCTCAAAGGATACAACGCTACTTTGTTTGCGTACGGTCAGACTGGGAGTGGGAAGACATATACAATGGGTACGTATGTTACTGAGAACCTACCCGAAGATTCTGTCGGCATTGTTCCTCGAATTATTGGTGATTTGTTCGAGAGGATGTCGGATTATGAGTATGAGTATGCAGTGAAAGTCTCATTTCTGGAGGTAATATACACCTTTTTCTGAATGCTTCTCCAGATATATAAAGAAGATATACATGATTTGCTGGCAGAAGATGCATCTGCCCCTCTACAGATTCGTGAAGAGAACCAACTCGTGAAGGTATGCATATCGTTTGACATTGGAATTGTTTGTCATAGATTCCTGGACTGACTGAAACATCGGTCACTTCGCCGAAAGAAGTCCTTAGTCTTCTTGAATCCGGCTCAGCAAAACGAAGTGTTGGTAGTACTTCCATGAATATGAAGTCTAGTCGCAGTCATGCCATCCTAACACTTAGCTTTTTGATGCGACCTAAGACAACGGAGTCGAGTGTGGAGAACGCAGGAGACACGCTGACCGCTAAGCTGCATTTGGTTGACTTGGCTGGTTCTGAACGCATTAAGAAAACACATGCTGAAGGGGATCGACTTAAAGAGGGTAAGTGTAATGTTATTTCATTGGAGTGCAGTAGGATAATCTCTTAGAAGTCTGCCTACTCAGCTACGAGGCATATTTAATGTACTGTACGCAGTTATTTTTTAGATGCTGTTTATATTCGTACTGAACTGCCTGCATTTAACTGATGATTACTTTTTAGCGGTCAAGTTGTCCTAGATGGGGATTGTTGTTAGATTAGTATATGTATAGATGGATTGCTGGGTGATTGATTGTGGTCGAGAAAGAAAATCGTGGGTTACTACGACTGCCTCCAGTGTACTGACCTGGTGCTTAATCGATTGAGTTGTCAGATGATAGACCATGGAGAAACAAATTAACATATAAGCTTGATAGTGGGCGCTTATAAGTTCAAGTTTGCAGATTCCTCAGCAGGATACAAGAAGAGTTAAGAAAGTTTAAGCTCTAAACATTTTTCAATCGTAATTCGATAATGTGTTTTTCTCGGTTGGCATATGTGCAACCATGGTTTTACGATGATTGTTGTATGTAGGAACCAGCCCACCGATCAGAAATGTCTTAAGTAGCTGAATTATTAATTATCTGATTGCTTTGTTGTAATCCAGATTTATTGGAGTGGAGACAAGGTCAACTATTTTGGAAGCTAGTCTGATGAAAAAGCAGACAGTTGTTCACTTCTCATTCAAAACACTGAGATATCAACTATTGTTTTGTGCTGTCAGGTTATGTGATGCTTCGCGTAGGTTTTGTCGACATGGTTCTGCTAATACTTATAGTAGATGTACGTGTTTTCAAAGATTTGCAAAGATTTAAATGATCCCATCGAATCATAAGCGAAGACTGACTTCATTGAAGAAGTTTGTTTTCGACAGTATTGTCCTCTGCAGATCTGTACAACCTGATATGAATGTAATTAGTGTGCGTATTTATTATTGGTTAACAAAGAATGTGGATGCTTGTTGACCAATGATTGTTGTTAGTTTGTGGCGGAGAAATTACTAATGAGGAGGTGGAGATTACGGAAAAGGTATGAAGATGTTTGACAAGGTGAATTAGTAGGTGTGAGTTGAAATCTGGAAGGAGAGAGTCGATAGCGAAATGAGTAGACGACAGTTGTGAGTGAGGAAGGGCATGATGAAATGGGGAGTGAGCTATGAAAGCGTCTACGTAATAAAACTGTGGGGGTGAAAAGGATTAGTTACGGTTGAGAAGTCAGAAGTGGATGAGGACAGTGAGTGGGAAAGGTGTGTTCTGGACACAACTCCAGTTTCGATTTTCTTGCTGTCAAAGCCTCAGCAATGTGATTTCCGCGTTTCCTCATAGCCTTCTTACTCATTGCGTTGTACTTTGTCGACCGGCTAGTGTGAGCGAATCTTGTAGAACAAAGTGTTTGCTTCCAGACTTCAACCTGCATTTACTAAATCACGCTGCCAAATATTGTCGTGTCGCTTACGTAATTTCCACTTCTATTTCCCTTTCCTCGCTACAAGATATTACCAATTATGGGTCTAGAAAATAAATTGACATTTTTGGTTAAGCGACAATGAATTTAATTTAAGCGAGATCGTACTACTTTGGAGAGAATAATACCTCTGAAAGCAAATTTGTAGTCTGAAATCGATATTCTTTACTGTGTGTTTTTAAAAAGAGATCCATTGCATGATCTTATTCACACTGCTGGCATTCATTTTCCATTGTAGTGCGCTTTAATGTGGAGACTTACAGAACCTGATTACGATAAATAACAGCTCGTAGATGTAGATGACTTGAACTTGTAGCAGCGATGTTTGAACTGACGCATCAGGGAATTAGTCACCTTGATTATCGTTTGACTATTTGGGATAGTCGTAGTTTGGCACACTAGTATTTATGCTAGTTGATGATTAAAGGTGAGATGAAAATCTGGACCGTGGCCGGAGTCAAACCAGTGACCACTGGGTTTCCGGTTTGGTGCTTTGGTTCGAATCCAGTTGTGGTTGAAATTTTCATTTCATCCAGCATAAATACTAGTCTGCCAAAATACGGCTGCTATCTCAGATAGTCAAGTGATAATCAATATGATGCTCTCCCTCTGTAATTCAGTTATATTTTGATTTTGATGAGGAGTTGTGACTAGGCAACCGGTGTAAATACGATCGAGCGATAGTAACGCGTCACAAACCCATATGGTAGTCGGGCAAAACCCTTGATGATTAGAGTGAAGTGAGAATTGGGTCAGCAGTTGAACGTCGTAGGTCAGTTGGAAGAGCATCGGGTTGCAAACCCGTTGGTCACTAGTTGGAATGTGGTGGTGGTTTAACTTTTCATTTCCCCTTTGATTATCATCGAGCATAAATCAGTCACCTGTTGTATAAGTGTTGGTAATATTGCCTAGCTGTTTGAATGTGAATAAATGATGTTAAGTGATGCTAGTGGTTGAAGGTCAACTGTTGAGAGTAATAAGCCATAGTTTCACAACTAGGATTAATAAGCATTGACTTGATGGATTTGTGTCAGTGAAAGCCATCACTCCTTCCTATTAGTTTTTTCCCATGTTCCTTCTAAAGTTCTATCTGACTATGAAGCCACACCATTGTTAAGGGGTGAAAGATTTACTGATACTACTTGATTGCCTAAATGTTTGAATGAAGACGAGTTGGTATTTTTTGTGTTTGAATCGATTTTCCATATCTGTGATAGCCATCACGGTGAGATGTTTTTCAAAAATCGTACTATCTGTGTGTAGTTGAACAAAATGTTTGTTTCGGTATATTATGCTTGAAAATATTTTTGTTTTACAGGTATTGATATTAATAGGGGTCTACTTGCACTTGGTAATGTGATAAGTGCTTTGTGTGAACGGGATGCAAAGAAACGATTGCATATTCCTTATCGTGATTCTCGTTTAACTCGTCTACTTCAAGATTCATTGGGTGGGAATAGCGCAACTTTAATGCTTGCATGCGTAAGCCCTGCAGATATGAATATGGAAGAGACATTGAATACTCTAAGGTGAGTTTGCATATAGAGCAGGTGTTTATTGTTGAATGGATCTGTTTGGATTGGTTATTTTCTGTTGACAAATGTATGGAATGCAATGAATATGAAAGTTTGCATAACAAGATGATGAGACAGTCGACTAGTTTGAGATGAGAGTCACGATTTCACAAAGCTGAACTACCACCAATTATAGAGTTGTTTATTCGTAAAGCATAAATGCCTAAGGTAGACAGACAGTATCTTGTTAGTTAAGACAGAACTAAATCAATTTTAATTGCCACACTTGATTGTAGAGGAGTTGAATAGATATAGAATAATAAAATGGATATGAAAGAGGAAATTGATTTGGTGAAGGAGACTAAAATGTAGAAACCTGTGGTGTCAGTAGTCTTTCAACAAAAATCTCTTGTCAGCGAGTGTATATATTGTCTTGAGTAGACTGTTATCCTATCAGAGACTGGAACTTGTGGCATACTTTTAATAGTGTTTGCTTCCCGTCGAGTGACAGTATTGATTGTATTCCTATTAAACATTGTTGTAAGCACTGAGGTAAGTACGAAAGTGTTTACATATTGAGTGGATGCGTTGGTTCTATCATAGATAACTTCGATGGAATTGACTTTAAGTTGTATGTAGAGTTTGGTTAATGTGCCCCACTGGTAAATCCTGATCATTGTATCATACATGTTTTGCCGAGGGTGGTATGGGAAGTTTATACGAGAGGGCGTTTTTACTCCTACCCACCTCCGTTCGCTTAATGTCTTGATAATATTATATTATTTTTTACGGCGCATTTCTTGGTGTCCTTGTCGTACTATGTTTGCGTTCCAATGATGATGATGATAATAATAATAATGATAACAATGATCATAATAATAATAATAATAATAATAATAATAATAATAACGAGGATAGGGGATATTTGCAGTACAGAATAAGCTACATGAGAAGGACATAGTAAGAAACAAATGATGAAGTTTTAGATGAACTATGAGTTATATCACCAGGAACTTCATATCGTGTGCTAGTGAAACAATCTCCATGATATTAGACATACTTTCGTCACATCTCGAGAAGGTTGAAAGAGACAAGGAAAGGTTATGTAAAGTGGATGATAGATGAACGTGGCGTTGGAAGATTTAGCTTTTTCATTTGGTTCTGAAATAAGTCGTCATCGAAATACAACATACACTGAGAAGTTTCTATTGTGTAAGAAGTGTTCCAGCGTGTGGAAACTAGACTACTTAGGGTAAATAGATAAGTAATGAAGTTTGATCTTATGTCAGTCGTTTATGCGTCGTCAGCAAGCCAATATTATCTTGTATAATGTATGCAGCTGAAGAGATCGTTGTTTGAATACAAATGACGTTTTCAAATGTGTTGAATAATTGAATCTATCTTGAAGGTGAGATTGTGATGGTGTTTGAAGTTATTGTATTTAGAAAATGTGGATATATTTTATACCATTGTTCTGTAGATGTCTTCAATGCATGTTTTTAAAAATAATGCAAAACGTGTATGACTTGGGAAGATAATAAAATTGTACATGTACTTAAGCCATCTTGTGAACTATCTTTGTTAAAGAAGCTTACGTTTGCTAACTGGCGAGATGTGGGACTATCTATGAAAGGATGAATATACCGTTATTGTGTAAATTGGTACGCTATGATGGGGGTCTGAGGGCGAAGTGGTACTGCTGCTAGCTGGATGGGGTGTGACAGCAGTAAGGTGTTCCCTTTGGATGACCAGCATTGCCACGCTGATGCTGCCTTCTCAGTGGAAGGTGGGGTTAGAAAAGGTCGGTTCCAAAAATAACACACTCCACCACGCCCACGGTCTGCCGGACCGGCGGTGTTTGTTCACTTGTCGTTTCCTTTCGACCATCCGGCCCCAAAAATACAAAAGTTCAAAATAACCATACTCAAAAGGCTGGGTGTGACAGGCCTCAAGCAGATGTCCGATGGGCTCTGCGGTCACACAAATCTCTTTCGGGTACCTTAAGAATAAATAGCCTTCTACGGTGTGGGCATCCGGGAAGTGCCAACCACCCTCACAACTCTGTGAGCACCCAAGTTTCTTCTGACTGCTATGAATATGAGAGGGTGCAGTTCGTTCCGTTTTGATATACGACATGGCTGTTAGAAATAGAAGACATGATATGGTTGGAGAGGTTTGATGACAGTTGTGTTTGTAGTATTGCTGGTGTTTGGTGGAATCACTGTGTGAGAAATATTGAAGTGAGAGGAAGGGGGTACAAGGCAAGTCGATTGATGAGGTTGTGTACCTTAATGGATTGAGGTGAGTTGGACGCGTACTGCGCATGCCAAATCACTGTCTCCCTCGACTTGTTATAGTAGGAGAAGTTGGATTTGGTTGGAAGAGGGTTGAGGATGGCCAGATCGTGAGACATGACCGGATTCAATGCAGTGGCTGAATATTTATGTGGTCCGTGTGTGTGGGGAATGCAGACTACTTGACTCGGGTCTCCGACACGATAGTTTGAGGAGTGTTGATGACATGGCTGAAAGTCGATCACAATGGTGTAGATGTACTCAGTCTCTAAGGTCTTGGTAGCTTGAATATCTGAAGTAACCGTTGTCTTGAAAATGTTTATTCTCTCACCCAATTTTGTCCTGTTTGATATGAATGTTATTCTACCCACCTGTTGTTTGTGTGATACTGTGAAGTGTGGGAAGTTGAGGTGATGGGGTTGTGTGTGTGTGTGTGTGTGTGTGTGTGTGTGTGTGTGAGGTTGTAGGTTGATTTTGTCTATCAGTTAGATTTTTGTCAAATGAATAATTAAATTTTGAGGGGGTTGTGGAGATTTGGAAATATTTCAAGTTGTTATTCATCGAAGACTGACATCAGTTGGAGGAACAAAGGAAACCTGGGAGCACTGGACAGCTGTTTCGTCCTAGTATGGGACTCCTCAGCAGTGCGCACCCACGACCCCACCAGCAGGGATCGAACCCGCGACCTTCAGGTTCCGCGACCAGCGCGTTACCATTGAGCCACCGGGTCAGAATCCAATGCTCCATATTTCCAACTTCTGTTAGCTCACGATATAGCGCAAACCGCCACCCAATGTCATCGTTGAGTATTTGTCCTCACGGCCATCAGGCTTGACTCCACCGGTCACGACTTGTCATTGGAACTTCGGGAATACTTCTCGAAGCTAGTCACCAACGAGCACTAGTTCAATTAAATTTTGAGGGGTTGTGGAGATTTGGAAATATTTCAAGTTGTTATTCATCGAAGACTGACATCAGTTGGAGGAACAAAGGAAACCTGGGAGCACTGGACAGCTGTTTCGTCCTCCAACTGATGTCAGTCTTCGATGAATAACAACTTGAAATGAATAATTTCTTGTCTTCATCGAATGGTGTAAAAGTGAACCTGTTTAGTGTGAGATTGTTAGTTTCGTTGTGTTAGGCGTGAAGGAGACTTGTGCAAGATGTTTGTGTTGGATGATTGCTGTAGTTTTAGGTGGTGTTAGTGCAGGAGTAAAATGGAATTTCTGCCCATCTCGGATTGAATTTTTCTTCTGATTGTTTTTTGGTTTTGTGATATGTTGTTGATTTGAAAGAGAACGTGTTGTGTTTAGCTTATTACGTAAGGAAGCTGAGATTCTGGGATATCTCATTCTCTTGTTATTCATTATATGCATTCGTGTATTTTATGTATTCTTCTACTTTGTTCCTCATTAGTGTTTACTGGTCTGGTAAGTGGAGGGCTGGGTTATTTTGCGTAGGATTTTGAATGGGGTTGACAGGGTTAATGATGTGCTTCTGGTGTAACTGATCGGTCTTGTAGGAGGTATGAATTTGAATTGATGCCTACAGTACTCGTACGCGATATGATTAGCGATAGAAGAATGACTTTTCAAGTTGATATTTAGCTGGTACTGGAAGAGGAAGACAACGATGTGATGGAAAGTATGTTTAATTCGGCCTAATGAATTCTTAGCTAAAAATTCGATAGATGGCCTTGACGATGGAAAACAAAAGAGGAGATGAAAGGTGTTAAATGAAGCAATCAGCGGTTTTTATCGTAACCTGTGATAGAAATAAGTAAGATTTGATGGCTCAAAAAGAGCTCAGAAATAAAGTTGAAGGCTTAAAATGATAATATACACATAAGTTAGTTTTTTCTATGGATTAGGCATTCCTAACACTTTATCTGAGGTTGATGATCCTCCTTACTTACATCTATCCCTCCAAATGGTTTCTAGGAGGACGAGGAGAAATTATGTACTACTTGCTTCTGGAATGCCCGAATGCAAAAATTCAACTATACCTTAGTTTATTCTACATCTTCTTTGAATAGAAATATGTTAGTTAGGTGAGAACTTACTCATGAACTTTGTAAATGGACAGTTCTTCTAGTCATCTATTCTATTCATAATTCGACTACTATAATTATCACGATTGATAATATTGTTAAGGTAGGGAAATGTAGTTAACCAGGTTGCTGACATCCATGTAGTAAACAGTTAGGCAAGGATATTGAGAAATTCCAATTTTGTCTGGAATGAATGAAAGTTTGAAAGGGATTTATGTTCTTGGTGTAAGATGACTGACTGTTTTTTTCTTTGATGAAGTTCAGCTAGATTTCTCATTGTGTTACTTTGAAATAAATTTTAAAAAAATTCTTTTAAGGTATGCTGATCGAGCACGTTTAATTAAAAATAAACCGATTTTAAATCGTGCTGATCCAAAAGATGCAGAACTAGCTAAACTTCGTACATTGGTGGCTCAATTACAAACACGACTAGCTAACGGTGGTTCATCTTTCCCACCTTTGAGTCCATGTCCAAAAAGTATCCAAGCATATACATCTAATTCTAATTGTACTGGGAGTCATTTCTCTTCAGAAATAATCACAAATCTTATGGATAAGACAAAAAGATTAGAGGTTAGTTTAACTATACTATTGTATTGTTGTTATAGTCATTAATTTTTGTATTACAGTATAGGCTAAAATTGTTAATTCCCTTATTCTCATGTTGACTGTGAGTGTTTAACTGACTTCTACCTTAGTTTATTCTATTGACTTTCAGTATTCAACTTTCAAGTGATATGGTGGGTGGATTCATTCATTATTGAGCCTGCTCAGTTGAGTAGTTGTGTAAACTGTCACACTTTCGAATAATAATGATTTGATTAGTGAACATAATTGCTGATTGTTTCTTGTTAGTATTGTGAATAGAGAAGTGAGAGGCGTAATAAGAGATTGTTAGTGTATTAGGGCCTGATTGATGTATTATGGAGGGCAAATTATCAGTTTGATCCAGTTAGTTAATGAGTATGCTTGTCATAGTTAACCACTGGTGACTAGTTTGTAACTTGGTTCATGTTTGTCATTAGTTTAGGGAGACGACTAACAAGCAACGGGTTACGAGTTGGAGTCCCATTCGACGTGTGGATGTTTTGGCAGCCAGGTAGCATTGTAGTGCTCTCTGCTGATCAGAATGGATATAAGCAGTAAGTGTTGAGAGGGCAGGAGAAATGGTAGGGAATTACCAGCAGTGGGTAAAGATTCTGCGCAGAGAAAGGCAAGGGATAATGTGGGCATATTAAAAGCAAATCAGGTTAGAAGGAGAAGAGGAAATGAAGGACATTGTAGAAATGACTGTGTTAGTGGAAAGTGTAGAATATTTGATGACTGTTTTACAAGATGTCAATAATGAACAATCCTTCCTTCATCTCCATCTTGTCGTTTCCTGTAGTATGACTAATCGTCAGACGATGGATGTGGCTCATTGTGTAGTGCATGAATGTTCACAAGGTTGTGATGAGTTAATTTCAACATTTGTAATCCATTACCCGTTTGAGGTGAGCTGTGTCAGGATATGGTGTACATTGCCTACAAATTGATGTCATCATAATTAACTGAGTTGGTCAATGGAACAGAGTGATGATGTACAGGTGATTGAACTGGAGAATGGTCCAAATCTGTTGTGAGGAGATCGGAGATACTGACGTTTGATGTGAAGCATATAGGGAGGTAGGTGTAGGCTGTGTGACTTGGTTGTTCGAGATAATGGGAAGCAATGGTTTGAGACGACTTGTTGGCATGATGGTCACAATGGTGTAGATGTATTCGCTGTTTGACGTTTTTCAAATGTTCAGTGTTTTCACTAAGTGTGATTGTGAAATTTCTTTTCATTGGATACACTGTAGTCTACTTTGACATGGTTTTTTTTCGATCCACGTGTTTTTTACATGCTGGTGTGAAGTGTGTGTGACAACTTCAATCAATGCATATCTGGTTGACGATAGTCTGGATTGTTGGGACATTGTTTGAAGTGGTGGTTGAAAATCAACTAGCCTAACCCACGAGTGTATCCTAATTGTGGACGGAAGTGTAAGCTGTTTAACTGAGGGTCCTCAGTGTGTTAGGAATAAGTGGTTGGAGAGTTTGATGTCTGTCAACCGTAGTCACAGTATCGGATGTGGATACGCTGTTGATGATTTCCGGAGTTTTGGATATTTTGATTAAGTTCATTCTGTTTATTCCCTGAACTCATACAGTTTTATCAAGTTTTGTATCATTCGTTTCGTATCTACCTTACATGTTGGTGTGAAGTGTAACAGTTTGAAGGAATGTGGTTGTTTGAGTTATATGCAGAGTTACTGTCTGTTTTGCTCTGAATTGTGTCTGTTCAACCTGATACAATCGTTGTATTAGGCTTTAATTTGTTCCGGCTAATATGTAGTGGATTCCTTAGGTTTTTTGATGAGACGTTATGTTTAAAACATTTTCTAGGGTGAGAAACTGTTACTCTGTGAAGAATTGGATCGAGTTGTTGGAAAAATGAATGAACTATACAAGAAAACTTTTGACTATGATAATCTATGGGATGGATTGTTTGGTGAATGTCAGAAGATTGAATGTGTTATTGGGTAAGATGGGAATGCCTCTTCGTTGTTTAAGTGAACTGTTTATTCCCCTTAGATCTTTGAAATATTTAATTGAGAAGAAGCTAGATGGGAATACTGAAATGATGTGCTGTATTGGAGATTTGGAGGATATTTTAACAGAAATTAAACGACTGTGTCCATCAGAAGGCAATGAAGTATGTGATTTGTGAAAATATTATTTCCGATAGGCTTTTTTTTGTTTATTCCTACTGTGTTTTCGGTGATTTGTTGTATGAAGCTGTGGGTCATTGGTTTAGGAAGATGACGGGTTTGAGTCATGCTCTACCTATCGATGTTTTGTTAGACATCACAGAAAGGGTGTGGCTCATTGGCTACTGCATGACTGTTCACGTGGTTGTTCCCGACCGATTTGAAATAAAAGTTGATGTTACTAGGTAGTTTTGATCACGAATTGATATCAGGCAAAAAGCCATTGGAAATGTGTAAGCACTAGACAACTCTCCTCAAATATGCGCTCCCACAACCCTGTTTGAGTGTGTGAACCCAGAGTCATCGAGTTTTTGCAGTGAACATGTTAGTTTTCAGGTGTTGGGTTGTAATTGGTTAATCGACATTGTCGTACTTCTGTAACGCGAACACCGTCGGTTGTCATTGGTGGGCGGTACCCACCTCCCTCTTAAATTGCTTGATGTCAGTAGTCGGCCTAAACTCGTATTTAATTTCATTATATATATGAGGATGCTGGATGTTAGTTTTGTGGGGATCCGGGAAGTAGATGTCGACATACATTTCATGTCAGTCTTTTTTTTTAGTTCACTATCGTTCATTACTTAGCCCTTCAGTTGAGGAATTATGGGTTAAAATACTGAAATTCGGTTGTAGTGCATTCGATTTTTATATGAGTCGATCTAGTGAACTGTGTATGTGTCAGATATTTCTTCTTCTCTTCATTTCTGTTTGACTTCATTATAGACATAGTATAGTTGATCATTTCTCCTTCTTGTAAGTTTGTAGGGATTGATGTACTTTTCCTAAAGTATTCAATTGACTGTATCCTGTTAGAAGACGCTGACAACATATGAAGCCTTTTGATTGTAGAATGTTTGGGATGTGTTTTTCATTTTCATGCTGTGGATTGTTCTTGCACGCTTTCATCAATGAGATATTGAGATATGTTGTGTAAATGGAGTGAGCTGTACAGCAAGTAGTTCGGTTCCCTACTCCATGGATATGAGACATGGTTATTGTATGTGGAGTATTTTAGATAGTTTTACTACTGTATCACTGTTGTGTATGACTTGCTTATGTAGTAAGCACCATCTTGTCAGGGAGTGTATTGAGTGGTGAGTGTAAGTTTGTTAGTCGGTTATGAATTTCATCATCGGAGTCTCTTGAGATGGTTGTGGTATATGCTAAAGCTTGGTTTACCTTTGAGCGAGTTACATTTTGTGCAGTAGTTGGTTGTTGGGATAAAGTTGTCAGTTGAAAGTGGTCAGAAGAGACACAATACTGATGGGTGAAGTGTATGACTGTTAAGTGGAGTTACGTTTGCTAGTTTCCTAATCGGTATCGACTGTTGATCAGAAATGGATTGCAGCGGTTTAGATAGTTACACTGATAGCTTATATTCATGCCGATTGTAGTCCCACCTAACTTGATTCTCTTCGTCTCATTTGGTCTTGTAATATTTGTTTGTAGATTTTGTGATCACCAGTGTGGTGTGTACTGGCATAAAATGTGACAGTGTACACCCCTGATTATTAATATGAGGTTTAATGTTGTGTGTGTGTGTGTGTGTGTGTTCTTATGACTATTCGTTTATTTGTGGTGGGTGATGGTTGAAGGTGAGATGAAAATCTGGACCGCAGTCGGATTCGAACCAGTGACCATGTATGTGACAGACTTTGATCACTGATGATGATGATCACCTTAGACTTTTGTAGACTTCGAAGTAGAAATATTTCACTGTGAGAATAATTCATTTCACTTGTTTTTTGTCCAAAAAATCTTTTCACTTCAGATACCGAACGAGGATTAGAGCATGCGTATAAACAGTCTTCGGATTTTCTGGCTGAGGTTAATTCACTGCATACATGTTTAGGTATGGAGGATAGTGAATTTGTGAAGACAACATTAGAGAGGAATAATGAAGAGGATATCATTAAGAGTAACGGGAACAAGGAGAATGTGAAAGGCAGTGATATAGGCAAGTTGCAAGTTGTTGGTAAGAAATTTTTATATCCACTTAGGTGATTATTTGTATTCAATGTCTTGATTAATCGTGATGATAATTTCTCTGGGATTGATTTATGACAATGTAGACAAGAAGAAACTAATGTATCGATTGATTTAGGGTGGTTTACTGATGATTTTTAATGATGAAAATAGTTGTGTTAGGTGCAGTGAGAGAGGGGAAGGTGTATATTGATGCATGCATATAAACATTGTTGAATGGATTTTCAAGTAAGAAGTAGTTGGTGTTGTTGATTTGAAGGTTTTGTTGTGAACAGGATAATTCTGTTTATATTTATAGAGACCAGCTTCTGAGCATTGTTATTGTTTTTATTCCATCTGTCAATTATGCTTCCAGTATGTAATAGTCGTCATAGTAGAATAGAACTGTTGTATACACGTGAAGGTTGCCATTCAGTGTCTATGCAATGTCATTGCCCCTTCAACTGACTAATTGTATGTGGTATTTCACTTACTTTTTAAATTAAAAGTTTTCTCAATGGAAGTGTGTGACTGTGTTTTATTCCAGGTACTGGATTTATTGAGCCTTATACAATAGGTAATGACTGAATGTCGGATGGATATGGATTAGGGTTGCGGTTAGGGTTTTTAAGTTTTATTTTGTGTATTTTTGTTGTTGATGGTTTACGGACAGAATGATTATTGTTCATCCTTTTCATATCGGTAATAAGTGAGTGATTTTGCAAGAGTTGTTGTCTGTTAAACGGTGTGGGGCGTGGGGTGGGGTTCGGGGGTGTTTGTAATGTATTTATTTATTTTGCTTGTACGAAGACGTGTGGGTGTGTAGGATTATTGCTAAAGTATTGTCAGTAATCGAGTTAGTCTGAATGTGGGGACTGACCATAGTGTGTAACGATCGGACTTGGTACACCTGGTAGAAGTCGGTAAGATGAAAGATAGTGAGGTCGGGAAGAAATTTATCAAGAGTGGTAAAAATGTGTAAGAAGGGAACACAGAGGAATGAAACCATAATGAATGAAGGTGATGTGTGGTTGCAGCTGCACGACAGATGCAGATATGGTTCCGAGTCATGACATGTAGAGTGTTCAACCACGGATTCCGTTTTACACATAAACTGTGTTCAGTAGGTCTATGTTTATTTACAGAGGTCAGGTGAGATCAGTAGTGAGGGACTTCACGAAGTGATCCTATGTTTTAGTTCGATCACTTTTAACCTTGTTTCGATGTTACACCCACTTGGGTTAACCACAGTGTTCATATTTTGATCGTATAGTTCAGACACTGGTTGAATAAGTTTGTGATGTGTAATGGTTTGTTAGTTAGTACATCTCTTAGAGTTTTAATTGTCTGTTAGTTATCTGACAGATCAATGGATGGGTTAATATAATGGATAAATGAAGCCTATGGGGGGAGAGGGGGGGAGGAGGTGGAGGGGTATGATGGAGAGTAGTGAGTAGATTTTAGTGAATATATTGATTTTGAAGTGTTTTTTTAGACGTTTAACTGGTGATGTTGATTAGTATGTGTACATTCCCTGTTTGTTAGTTTTCCTTAACTATACAGCTGAGATAAAAAGACGAGGAGTCTAATGGAGTGATTCCTTGTTTATAGACCTTATCGTTGTTGTTTCAACCTAATCTTGTTTTAACTGGTGTTACATGTTGCCTAAGACCTTGACTAGTCATGTGTGAGGGATATCTGGATCACAGCTTGTATAATTTTATAGACTGACTGACTGACTTGTGTCCAATGGTGACTTGGTTCTTTGCTATATACTCAGTGTTGTTGGTGCACAGTGTAATCGGCTGTTCATCGGTTTTAAGATTGGACGACTGGGAAATGACTTATTTCGTTGAATTGACTCCTCACGAAGAGATTGTTGCTTTAGTTTGGTTTTATGTGTTGTAGGTGTATGTTGGTCGGTTACTATTCTAAGTGCATTGGTTAGGATTTTTCAATTCGGTTGTTGTATGTAGTTACTTGTAGATTTTGTAGCTGTGGAAGCATGTATAGTTTTACTTTAAGCTGTGAAATAAAGTTATCTTTGTTGTATTTTATTTAGATGGATGGGTTTGTAAACTACGTGTACGGAGGTTAGAATGTAAAGAGCGTATTGAGACTATTGAGGCTAGTATACGCGAGAAAAATGATCTTTTGAGGAGTTTGGAGACTGCTGGAGAACAAGGTGAAGAGTCGTACTGTTTACTGTTGAGAAAATATGAGTGTGAAATGCGTGAGTTGGAATCACGTATTAGAGATTTGGAGTTGGAGAAGAGGAGACTTGTGAGTGAACAGAAGAATGAAGATTTGAAAGAGTATGTTATAACGCGTATGTGTGTATTATCATGTGAAGTTTTACTGTTTTCGATGTGAGTAACCTTTTTGTATTTGTATTTCGCTGTTGCCTGACTTCTGTGGATAGGAGATGATATATGAGTAACGATGGGTTACTACTTTGACAGTGTATGTTGTGTCGAGCAGATGTGAGAGAAGGAGACATGCTCATCTTGAGGTATTTCTACTTGTTATTTTGAAAAAAGATGATTGGAATGTTATTGTGTTGACTGAGGATGATTTTGTTTCATGTTGGCATCCACGATTATTTCATCGGATTGGTACTGTTTAAAGGTCGAGCAATAAATTTTGCAGGAAACGATGAATTTGTTGTATTTCATCGCCTTCTTTTCAACTGCATACTACAGGCTATGAAATCACAAGATTTATATGAAGGCGAGAGAAGTTCGATGGTCATAATTCAGTTATCAAGATGATGGTGGTCCATTGATGACATAAGGGAGGTGTATTGGTACAGATTATGGAAGTTGTAATGAAGTAATTCACGATAACTAAAATGGAAGTGATATCTTTGTTTATGTAGTGAGACTGGCATCTTGCTGAATGTGAGGAATAGGAGTTGGGTGGAATAGAAAGTGTTACGAAGGTGAATGTGATGAGTTGAGTATAAAGTGAGAATTGTTTTTGCATGGTTTAATGTGAAGTAGTAAACTTGTGAAGATGTTATAGGAATTCCTTGTGAAAGGGGGGATAAAAGTAGAGAGAGAATTTTGGAAGTGGTTATACTGAATGAAGAAACAACTCAATTGGGTACTGTGTAAGTTGGAGGCTTACAACTGCGTTTATTTGATGCATGAGTTAGGTTTAATTGTTCTGATGGGAATAAATTGTGTTATTCTTAGTAAGTTAGGATTGTTTTGTTTGTTGTTGTTGTTGTTGTTGTTTATTGTAAATGCTTTGGAGATTTAGTCGTCATGTCGTGTGTCCATCAGATGTTTAGTGATTGAAATTTGAAGCGACTGTGACTGTTTTAAGCTTAACTTATGTGAGATGTGTCTACCAATGTAGTCTCAGTCGGCCTCGCACTCTATCTGTCTTTCTAGTGTATATGCTGTGATATGTGGATTTGAATTGGTAGATACAATTTGAGGTGGGATGAGGTGGAAATGTGTCGACTTTGTATTGATGTAGTGTGAACACTTTGGTCATATGTAGGAAGATGACAGTGTGAGTGCATAAACATAAGATAACTATTTTATTCTAGTAGTCGTGAATTATGTCATTTGAACTTCGTTAATCTGTGTCAATTCCTTGGTTATGTCATGCATAGATCATGATCTTGTTGATAAGTGAATTATGTGGATTGTATTTTCTTGCTTTGCATATTTATATGTGTTATGATGTGTAGGCTGTAGGCAGTTGAATGAAATTCATCGTGTTCTGCACAATTTGTTGTGCTGACTTTGCTGAAATCCACAGTGATGATAGGACAGTAGTTTATACGATCTTTCCACTGGTTTGTGTTTGTCAATATCTGTCGACGAAGTTTTTAACCTGCAACCTTTTGGTGTATGACTTGGTATTGCTACGAACCTAAGAGAGAAGGTGAGCAGTGATATGTGGTGTCAGGTTTTATCATCTTATGGATTGTTTACTTGACACTGTGTTGCAATAACTTTATCGTTCCATAACCCCAGATCGCTTTTTGGTGAAGAGTATTTTCAGTTATTGTGAAGCTCCACCTATTCACTGGTGATATATGCACCATTAAGAAGTTGGAGAAGTAGGCTGCTTTAATGATATGGTGTTGACTGATACTGGATTGATTTGCACAGACTATGTGAGACCTTGTTCTTGCTACTGTCTGCACTGACCACCTGAATTCGAAATGATAGTGTTGGTAGATGTCTTTCGAGATATGAAATGCTTTCGGAGAGTGTAATAACATATGATACACAACTTTGTTTCTAATCCTACTACCTATATAAATGTGCATTTTGATTTTTCTCTGTGGAAAGGTTTAGGGTAAATAGTGTGAGAAAGGTGATTTTTATTTGATGGTAAGATGTAGTTGTGTGTTTTGTGAAGTGACTGTGTCTGTGTTATACTTCGTCACTGTCGCTATCCATTTTATCACATTCAGCAAGGTGTGATATATGGAGGACGTGTGGTCGAGTTTCTTGCATTAAATTAGTTGGTGAGGGAACTCATTGTCTAATGTGTATCTTTTGTATTGTTTAAAGTTAGGATAGATGATGAATATGTGTTGCTGATACTTTTCGAAATGTTTTCAGCTCTAAAATTGAACGTGAAAGAGTGTTGAAGGGTATGGAACAGGAGTTAATGCAAGCACGACGTCAATTGAGTGAATTATCTCGTTTAAAGAAAGCCAAAGAAGCTAGAGAAGCTGAATGTTTACGATTAAGAGGTGAAATTCAATCTCTGAAAGCGTCAATGATTCGATCAGCTAGACAGTTGAAAGAAGAGAGTGCTGTTTATCGTAAATGGCGTAAAGAAAAGGAGAATGAGGTTGGTTGGTGGTTGTGTTTCTCTTGCTCTTTGGTTTCTACTTCCAGTTAATTTCTCATATGATGATTGTGAGGAATGATAATTTATAGTTGAAGTGTTGTCAGTAAGTAAATAATGCTGTGTGGTGTTTATCAAGTCAGCGAATGTAATATGGAATGTCTTATTGATAGTGCCGTATGATCTTACTGTGGATTGGATTTCTCAATGGGACCATGTATGCCTGTAGTTGCCCTTTCTGGTTAGTGAGCATAACGTTGAGTGTCCCTGATTTTATGGGGTTTGGCTTACTGTCTGTATGACGTGTCGTTGACTTTGAGTATTTGGAAGAAATTGAAGCTGCTGAAAAAATGTAGGGTGTTGTGAATGAGTTGAGTATGTTTGGAATGGGTTTGGCATCTGTGAAATGGGAGATAGTTGTTCAGGACTGGTCGCTGACCTTCGTTGACTAAGGCGTTGCGCATGTGAAGCCACCACCTACTTGGACGTGCTATGCTGTTAGAATTTGGATTAGTTTGTTAAGATTAAGACTTTGAACGACGAGTGCATGAAGTGTGTAAGTGTTGATTGAAATTGTGTGGGAAGGTGTAGACTACTTGACTGATATCCCTGAGACCTAGGAATCATTGGTTGCAGAGTGAGATGGTGAAAAGTCTACCACGATGATACAGATGTACTTGCTATTTAATGTGTTCCAAAACATGAAGATATTCAGTCACCTTTGTCGTGAAATTATTTTTCCATCCCATACAACTTTGTCTAGTTTGATATGGTTTTTTTTTTAAAAGTCTACTTATTCTGTAAATGGTTGTGTGAATTATGGCAGATTGAATCGAATCCGTTGTTTGCATTGTTGTAAATTGATTTTGTGTGTTGGCACCGTGCTCCATAATGTTGTGAAGGAAATCTGTGAAGGTGTAAGTTTGTGGATAGTCATTGTGAATTCATATAAAGTTAAGGAACTTGGATGTGAAGATAATTTAATTTTGACCTTACTTGATCAGTGTTAAATTGTTGACGTAGGGTATTTGATGAGTGAGTTTTGTGTGTTGACAGGGATGGGGGCGTAGGCAAATTAATTGAAGGTGTATAGATTTCAGTGCAATTGTGCTTATCTGTCAATGGGAGTGGACATGCATTATTGTCCCTGAGCGACCACATGCAGTAGCTAGCATGATGTGATACACCACATGTTTTATGACTGCGTAAACTTCTATTGGTCGTTTGAAGTTTTAACTGATGATTCATGTGTGTGTGTGTGATAGTCAGTCATAGCACGTATTGATAAATGAGCGGTTTTGCTTATTGTTATGTTTTCGAATGATGTTCACTGGTTATCATACAATTGTACTATACTATGCTACAGGTGAAAAGACTTGAAGAAAATGATCGTCGTCTTCAGTATGAAATGTCTCGTATGATGTCAATGCATGAACGTGAGCAGGCTGTACTGAGACGTCGTGTTGAAGCTGCAGCAGCTGCTGAGCGTCGACTTAAGGAATTATTATTACGTCAGAAAGATTCGAAACAGGAACGTGATAAACGTGTATCACAGTCAAATAATACAAAAGGGTTGGTGACAATTTTTCTTTTTTGGTTTGTTCTATTGTATGTTGAAGTGATTGTCTTAGTTTTACCTGCAATAGTTTTATGTGATCATGAGATAGATTTGAGTAAGCTTTCCAGTGAGGTTAGTGTTGAATGAAAGGGCTCTTAGGATGTGTGTTTTGTATGAAGTGAATCGTGTGAAATCTTTATACGTGAGAGAATAAGTTCTGAAGGGAAATGTTTGTTGAGTAGAGAAGGAAAGTATGTGTGTATCAATTCCTTGTGATAGTTTTATTCTACGTGGAATGATGTTTTGTTTATTTCATTTTCCATCTTCTCAACTGATTAAGCTGATTGTGTCTGGCTAGTCTTAATATGTCTGGTAGTTTTAATATCGAAGAAGACATCAGTTGGTATAGCTAATGTGTTCTTCTAAGTGTTTAGTTGTGTGACTAATGGATGGTGTGTTTGTTGCTGACTAACCGTAAAACACGATGGAATGTAGCAGAGTATGTTTTGATCATATGTTAATTATGCGTTACTTGACACTGACTGGTTAAAGTGGAATATTGTCTAATACTGGTTTGTATTCGTTTACAAATTGTATATCTGATTGTGGTAGTTTGGAAATCATGTGAGTGTGGAATGATGTTTTTAAAGGGTGGGGTGGTGTAGAATTGCAGCTTTTCAGTGTATTGTCATCAGTGTAAAGGTGAAATGTTCAGAATGTGTGTATTGTTTAGAGAGCAGCAATGAAATTATATTGCCGGTGATCATCCAGATCAACCTAGGACCAGACATGATTGCGTTACGGTCCGAGTTGCCACACGTGGTATCAGTACATCAAGTAAAAAGGCAGTGAGGTGCAAGATGAAGAAAAGATAATTCAGTCAAAGGAGATATGAAGTAGGAAAAGAGAGAAAATGGTGAGATTCGGTACAGCATCGTTAAGATGAGGATAATGAATGTGTGTGTGTGTGGGGATACATCTGGACCACTGACATCGGTTCTGAGCCATATCACCTAGAGTCTCCAACCACTGGTTCCTCTTGTCCCGCGGACCCCAACCACCTAGTCTGCATCGCCCTACATGGCTCAAACCAGCAGTCGAAGACTTCATACATTAGTGCCATGTTTTAGTCTGGCCACCTCGGGCCTTTTTCCAGTGTGGACCTACTTCGGCCAACATTGTGTGATGAGGTAGGTAATCGGCGACTAGGCATACGTAACACGTGTGCCAACCATCTCAATCGATGGAGGTCCACAACCTCGTCAACCGACTTACCTCTTCTCCCTAAAACTCTACTCCTGACTTCTGCGTTACTCACATGGTGACACCACGGAAGACGGTGGCCTATAGTACGAAGGTGAAGGTGGAATAAATTGGTGAAAGCCAATCGAGCCTTTTGTATCCGTGCACAGATTTCATCGGGAAGTGACCCACCAGGGAAGATCCTACTTCCCAGGTAAGTGAAATGGTGAACACACTCAGCCACCTCACTGTCTATTGTTAGCCGTGGCACTGTTGAAGACCAATCCTGGAGCAGCAATTTGCATTTAGGTAGTGAGAAACGCATCGGAAACATTCTCAAATTGCTACTCAAAGTGTTCAGAAGACTGTGAATCTTGTCAGCGTCTTAACGTAACAGGACAATGTCATCTGCATATTCTCGGTGTAACGAAAATTCTCTTGTGAGTAGGTCAACGTCTGTGTAATCATGTGACTAGAGGGAGACCTCCATAAGAATATCTGTGATAAAATTGAATAAGACTGGAGAGAGTGGTCACCCTTGATGGAGACCACTCGATGAGTACAGCTCACCTGACATCTTTTTTTTTTGTAATAGTGTTGATGTTTAAACTATTTCACTTTCATGTAGAGTCAATGAAATTTAACGATGGCGAATTAAAGTAGATTTGATGTTCACTTCTTAGAGTACAATAATCATGTTGAAGTTTAAGATATGTGGTCAATGGTAATTGGTGAAATTCTATTGGGAAGTGATTATTTTGGTAGAAGGATATGGGAGTTGGGTGGGGATGCGGTTGTAGGATGCTGTTTGGAGTTGATGAGTGCTGTTTTCGAAGCGTTTTGACACATGTTTTGTTATATTACTGGGTGGATATTGTGAACAGTGTGTTTCGAGGCAGTTGAATAAGTGAATTTGATGATTGATGACCAACTGAGACTACAAAAGTGTATGGTGTTTGACTATTCGTAAAGGGTGAGAACTTATTATTTTTCCATATTGATCCTATGTTATCCACAACAGTAGGTTGTTGATTCATTGTCTGTAAATTGGTTGAGCTTTCACCGAATGTATAAATTACTCTCATTTTATCCTCTTTTTGTGATAGAATTAGAAAAGTTGTGTGTTTGGAAGTTATTCAGTTGTCTGGATGGAGCGGTGACTTATTGGTTTAGGTAGATGGTTGCTGGTTCGAGCTCTGCTGTACATTTTGATGTTTGGTTAGTCATGTAATTGTATCACTAGCCATGACACAATAGGTGTAGGTTATTGCCCACTGCATGAATCTACACAAGGTTGCTGAGTACATTTTGATTCGATTCTAGGTGTTTCAAATGTTATGATGTTAGATTATGTGAAGTCTACTTGATGTGTGTGAGAGGGGTCGCAATACTGCCCGATTAGATGACACTAAAATAGGTGAAGGTGAAGGTGGAGTTGGAGGTGGAGTTCAGCTTGAGAGTCAATCAGTCTTGCTGTACTTGATGAATATTTTATCAGGGTTATTCGATCGTCTAATGAGATGTTTTTACCTTGTGTATTCACTGAATAATGGTTTATGGTCGATCGTAGTTGAAAGTCATTGTTAGTGGTTCAGTATTTTGTAGTGTTAAATGTGCTGTGTGATTTTTGAAGATGTTGTAAGCTGATTTCTAAGTTTGTGTGTATGTGTTGCTTATTGTTTATATACTTAGTAAGGTTGATTTAGCTTCGCATGTTCGAAATTGGGTTAAAATGGATTTGGACATGCAGGTGAGTATGGGTGCGGCTAGATATCATTTAAGCAATCTTATTGAATCACGTAAAACGCTTTGTGATCAAGTTCGTGTAATAGAGTCGAAAATTGAAGATTGTCGAGAGCAAGGTGAAGCTTATGAAGTGTATATTGATGAAGTGAGGAGTTTGACTGAGACAATCCAATCGCAAACACAACAGATAGGTGATCTTCAACAGAAACTGATGGATGCAGGTGAACGATGTTCGACGGATGGGAGTTGTGCAGCGGATGTAAGTGGTCAAATGCTGTCGTCGCACCTGTCCCAACTGCACAGTATTCAAGAGGCGCGTATAGCTTTAAAGTATTTATTTAAACAGGTGAGTCTTTATGTGTTAAACTGTTGTGTGTGTGTGTGTGTGTGAGCCTTTTTCACCCGTCGACCCCTTTAAGTTGAGATGGCCCGCACTGTGAAGTGAAGTGCTACGAAGGAAAGTAGATCAAACGTTTTTAGCAGTTATTGTCGTAGGGCCTTTGCGAAACGTTGTTGTTTGATCCTTGTGATCTGGCATTTGTGTAGTGGGTTGAATTTCTTGATGTGTGTGTTGGAAGATGGGGTTGTAGGTGGACTCCTGGATAGTGCTTGACTGGTCATTATGCTGTAATGGTTTTGGTGGGCAGCAGGACACGCGCTTCGTCGTATTTGTGGGTCGTTCGTTAGTTAGTTGGATGGAGCTGTAGTCCAGTGAGTGTTGTTGTTCCCAGAGAGACGACGTGAACGTAGTATCCATGGCTTCAAGTGTCAAAGCGTTGTCCACTGGCGACGAGAGACATCACTTGTGTAATGGATATTAGTTGTTGTTTATTGGTACTTGTAACCTCCTATTAGTACAGTGGGTGGAATTGGTCGAGTTCTGTTGGGTTAGTTATGAAGTTGTACAAAGGTGTCAGTTTGTTAAACAGATCTATCATATAGTATACAGGTGGTGTGTTGAGATTTCTTGTGCATAGTTTTTCAGTTCTTTTGTGTTGTTATTGTGTTTTTGGTGAAAGGCAGTTGGAAAAAGGTTTGTGTAGTCAGGTTTCTCCTGATAAATGCTTTTTATAGACATACCAGTTATAAGTGTTTGTAATTCTGAGTATCAGGTAACTAGATTTGAATAACTAAGTGTTAATAATGAATATGATGCAACGCATGCGGTATAGCTTTATGTGGTAGGTGGATGGGACACGCTTAGTGTATGAAGACGTGTGACACCATTTGGTTACCAGTTGGGCAGTAGATGTAGAGGTATTCCAACTGTGAACCGTCTACCTGGAAGTCAGGTGTGTGAAGCAATTAAGTAAGTCATGAAGTGTAAGCAGTTGATCCGTTGACGATGTAGAACTGTTGTTTGTGAGTTCCAGTGATTGACTGAAACGTCGGAAATCTACTCTAGTTTATGTTGACTTGATAAATCAGGAAGTATGTGTTGCACCATGGTGATTGTATGTAGTTGTTGAGTGAGCATATGAACCAGTAATGAGTTTGATGAACTCATCCTCGATAGGAAGAATAAAATTGTTATACGATTAAAGAACGTTTTATTGACTCTTCATTCATTTTCATAGGATTCATGGTTACGAAGGAAATGTGTGCTAGTTGAAATTGGTTATTGGACATAATCGCAGTGTCCATGTACGTATGAAATGGGGTTATATTTGGTGTTGATGAATTATGAAACATGATGAACAGGGATTAGGACAATAGAGGGGATAGAGAGCCGTTGATGTTTGTCGCCTAGTTTACACTGTGAGGATTAAAGGAAGTGTTGATATAAGGGTTAGGAATACCTGGTCCTGCATTTTGTTTATTTGTTAATTCATAAAGGCATGAATGATTTTGTCAACCTCTTTTAACTTGCCGTATAAGTTGAGTTGGGGGAGATTTCTGGGAGGTGTTTATCCGAGTTTGTGTTATATATTATTCAAGAATGTATGTGGACCGACTGTATTAGGATAAGTAAACTGTCAGCATAGAATGTAAGGCATATTTATGATTGTGAACGAGAGGTGTTCAGCAATGAAGTATGCTCTTGTATAGAACGAAGTGCCTTTTTGTATGAATTATTGAAAGTAGTGATTGGAGGTGGTGTATTGCCACATACATTGAGTAGTGTTATTGACAGGTGTTTGTTCACTGTTGGGGACTGGTTGATTGGACTGATTCATTGAACATGTAATGATATGAATTGAGTTTGTGGTATTTTGTGAGTGATTTGATGTTTAGGTCTTCGGTGTGTAGACAATTAGCCTACAAGATAGGCTTGAAAGTGTACTGATGACGAATTGACTGTTGTTGTGTGCATCGTTGTTAATTCTCATGCATTTTTGCCAAGAGTATCTATGCGTTCTGTCGAACATTGATCATCATCATCATCATCATGGTGATGATATGTGGTGTGAATAAGTTAGGCACATGTAAGTGTGCATTACTCCATGGAAGACTGTGATTAGAAGATATTATTCTGTAATCGGAGTAGGTGACTGTGAGAGTTATTGGATTTACTGTATGTGTCAAGGTTTGTGCAGGCATGTAGTGTCATTGGGCATCACACAACAGGTGTGGACAAGAATATTGAGTGGATTTTGATTCGATATTTTGTAATGATGAACACACTATTGGTCTTAAGTTGTGTGTACATTGTTGCTGATTGCCTAGAGATAGATGACAATGTTAATTAATTTTGTCATGTTGTGATTAGTATCTTGATGATTAATTGTGTGTTTATTCGATAGGCGACATTGTCTAAAGTGTCGAATATAAATTTGGAGGCTCAGCTACAAGATTTGGACACGCAATTGATTGCACAAAGACAAGAATTAGAAAATTTGCGTCGAAACTATTCGGTTGAATTTTCGAAATGTGAGGAGAATGTAAGTGAAATGATGATGATGATGATGTGTGTGTGTGTGTGTTGTAGACGAGAATGTTTATCATGTTTATTTGTTTGTTTGATGTATCTCATTTGATTTATGTTGGATTGATAGAATTAAGTTGAGAAAAAGACGGTCATGTAGATGAATGCAGTAGGAGTGATATAAACGTGTAAGACTTGCTTGATTGATTCGGTTATAATGTCATTCATAAGATGATTTGATCAATTTAGTTGAGGGGGATTCAGTCGAATATTAGTGTAACTATCTGAGGATTAAGTCAGAAGGTGTAGGTAGGATGATGTGTGTGTGTGTGTGTGTGTGTGTGTGTGTGTGTGGATTGACTGTTTATTCAACTGGGATTATTGGTTTAATTTGAGTGGAGATCAGCTCGATGCTAATGTATATGATGAAGGAGTTATTGTGTCTGAAATTTGACTTCCATCAGCGATCTACATTTTTTGACAATGTTCCAATATTGTGTAGATTAGACGTGTTATACCCTGTCGATTTGATTTCCTATGATGAACAACCAGTCTTCACCTTCAACTATTTTCCTATGAAATGTGGTATAAGTGAGATTGGAAATGAGTGGGAATGCCATGACTAACTTTAGTGAATTGATTGTATGTTGTTGTTGTTGTTAGTCCTCACAATAGTTTAGAATTGAGAGATGAATCAGTGTTTACTGCATTGAATGAGTTTGAGCATGAGATGATTCGGTCTACTTTCATGGATTGATTACATATGAATGGGTAGAGAGGGATAGAGTTTGCAGTCAGCAGGTGATTGTGTTGAAGAGAACGAGAAGATAGAGACGAAGGAAGTTATGCATGTGGTAGACCTTGCAGTAAGAGGATCATTTGAATAATGTGCTTCATTTCGTCTTCTACTTCTGTCTTGATTTGTTCTTAATACGCTGGCGTTGTCTGTTGCGTTTTTCTGGACAGGATTGTTACCGATTTGTGGTAATTTCCTATAATTTCTACCACCCTCTTAACATATGCACACTACTTATATCCATTCTTATCAGCAACGCCGACTACATTGTCACCTTCGAATTCTGTTTTTATTACTTCGATGCTGTTGGGGACATCATGATAGCCACTCCAGAACTCATTGTGCTAGTGGTTGTCGTATGGATGACAATGTCGGAGTAGTTATTGACTATCGAGTTGACAGTTTGGAGAGTCCACTCGCATTCCATCTACTTTCGGAGATTCGTAAGACTTCAATGCTATGCCTTCTCATCTCATTTACAATGAGGGCAGCCTTGCTAGGTTGAAACATAGTGCGGACATTCCATGTCCCCACGTTTACTTTCGGTCTCACAGAGAGAAGAGAGGACACATGGGCGAATTGGCCTCCGGAAGGCTTTCACCCACCGGCGTCATTTTGCCTGTCGGATTCCAGCGAGGAATGATATTGTTTTTATGTTTTATACTTTGTTTGTGCTTTAAAGTTTTTTTAGCGGTTATATTTGTTTTCTGGTGTAGGGTTGCTAGCCCTTTGCCCACTCTTCCCTGTTTACCCGGGCTTAGGACCGGGTAGTAACTAGTGAACTAGTTGGCCGGGCGAGGTTAATTTGAAAGTATAGATTTGTTAAATTGTTCTGTCTTGCTATTGTCATTATTATTATGTCGTTTCTTTTATCTATTGTGTGTATGTTTGTGTGAATTGATTCAGTTGTGTGATGTAAAAAGCGAACTGGAAGCTAAAAGTGAGTGTATTGAACGATTACAAGGTGAAAACAATAGTTTACAAGCGGCTCTCCAACTTGTACTTGCCTCAAGTGTGAATTCGTTTACGGTATGTAAAATGGGTATCCTTACATTATTATGATTATTATTTCAGATTTTGTGTAATATTATATTGTGTAATGTTATAAAACTTTGACTGTGCCCTATAGTTAGTGAGAGTTTATAATTGACAAAGTTTCTGACCAGTTGTTTGTAGTATAATCGAATCTGTCCTTGGAAATAAGTGGATGGAGTAAATTGGGTAAAGTATGACTTCACTACCATAATCTGTATGCGTTGATGGTTATATTGAATAGTTGTCTTCCATAAGTACTGTTATATATGAGAACAGGCTTTATACTGTGGAGGAGATATAATCTGGTGAGACAAGATGGCATGTTTAATATAGTGTAGAGTGAGGATGTAAGTGCTTTCTTGTCTTCTATTCGTTGTGTTAGTATCTATTCGAGTTGAATCGTGTGGATTGGATCGCATGATGATCGTCTGTAATCTTAGAGATTGGTGAATATGTGTAATCTGTTGGACTTTTGCAACTTGTGTGGTTGTTTATCATCTTTGGTTTCATGTTGAAGCACCTTAGGGAAAGTATGTATATATGTATACATATATGCATCTATGAATAGAATTTTTTGTATGTATGGTTTTGTGTAGTGTTGTAAGATGTTGTAGGGTGGGGAGTAGTATTAGTAGTAGTATATCAGCAGTACTGTTTTCTCTGTTGGTTTACCTTGAACCCCCATGTTTATTGTATGGTGAAGCAGTGAATGAGATTGTCAAAGGTGTATTGTCAACTTTGTATTGTGTTGTGTTGTGTTCTCTGAACTGTGTGTGGTTTAAACGTGAAGCTTTGATGTTGTTTGTCGACAACATCATCAAGACTGAGTTGAATATGGAGGGAGGTGTCAGTATGAGTGAGATTCAGAAGTTTGTTGTGATGAACTGGTTTGTGATTGTTTGTTTTGTTTAATTATTGTGTGATTGATGGGAAAGATTTTCTTATTGGTTGTTTGCCTGCCTGATCTCTGACGTTTTTGTTTGATTATCATTTTTCTATACATCTATGGATTGGTAAGTGAGATTGATCGTAAACTTGTAGGAATTCTGTGATATTGTTTGTGTTTTGTCTCTCCGTGGAAGACATTGTCATTGTGAAAATTGAATTGATATCCCTATGGTTGTTATCCATGTGGATTGAAATGAGTAAGAGAATGTGATGTTCTTGTAAACGAAGTGGAAGATGATGAGCACTTTGTCGAATGTCGAGTTGATGGCAGTTGTTGCAGTTGATACTGTAAATGATACTTGCGTCGTTTGGTGTGCATGATATGGTATGAAGGGGATTTGTTAGTTTATGAGTTACACCGATTGCAAGTGGTCTGAGTAATCTTGTTGTGATCTCTTCCTGTATGTTCTTTATGTCTAGTAGGATGATGTGTTTATTGATTTGTGTGGTTGATGATGGACGGGATTGGTGTCTTCTGATAAAGTGTCGTGGATAAACTATTCTTCTTTGGCATAGATGTGACGTGATTTTGTTCGTTTTTCCATGAAGTTGTTGTACTGTAGTGTGTTCTAGCTTTTTTGAATAGAGTGTGTAGACTAGGGCAATAAATGTTGTGTGTTGTTAGTGTAGTTGAGGATTTGATGAGTGTGTGTGTGTGTTGTTTCTTCGACTCCTTCTCCATTTTTCAATCTGGTTTCTTTGAAAATGTTGTTGATGAAACTGTGAGTATTTTTTTAATCAGGTTTTTTCAATGGTAAGAGAAGTATCGTGTACATAGTGGATCGAAGTATTGATTTGCTGACCAGTAAGATGATGGCTTCCAGTGTAGTGTCTGTATGACTGTTTGTGGGTTATGAGTGATCTCATTGTAGTTGCTTTCACTTGTTTGTATGTCTTGATGTTAAATTTTGGAGTATGTTGTGAGATGAAGAATCATGCGTTTCATCGTATTTGAAGATTGAAGTTTTGTACGTTCTGAAAGACTTATATGTCTTGAGTGTGTTGTAGAGAGATAGTATATTTGGCCATTTGTGGTTTGGTTAATGTGTATAATTGTGTGACATCTAAGAATAGTATCAACTCATTGTTCTGCATGTTAATGTCTTTGTTCATTTGTGTGTCAGTGAATCATTGGAGTGTCGTTCTGAGTGGCATAATGTATTTGAATTTCCTCGAAAGGCGTTTGGTTAGATTTGAAGTTGAAGTTGAAGTTCTGTGAATGGAGGTAATTGGTCGTAGAGGATTGTCTGGTTTGTGTAGTTTTGTTCTGCTGTAAAGGTGTAGGTGAGGAAGGATATTTCTATTCTGAATTTGTGTATGCTGAACATATGAAGGTTTCAGGAAGGATGGAGTATTGTGAGCATGATTGGAATAGTGGTAGTTGATTACCCAGTGAAATAAATTACACATGTTTTCCCCCCAGTTTCATTTGAATTTTTTGATTTGGTTATCTCATCTACAATTTCATTGGATAGTTTGATTGTTTGACAAGAATACTGAATTGCTATGCAAAGAGATATTGAAAGGATAGGGTAGGGTAGACAGGCTGATTACATAATATGTGTTCATCGAATGAACGTTGAATACATGAGATAAGTATGAGATACAGTGGAAAGTTTTATAATAACCAAGAAGAAGGAGGAGAGAATACGTTGTGACACAATAAGAGCATAAAAGTCATATGGTTGAAGTTGTATGATTACTGGGATATGAATGATTGGTGATTGGTGATTTCTGCATGAGACGTCATGAAATGAACGATGGTGTATCATAATGTGTGTGTGTGTGTGTGCTACATGGAATCAGGAAAAGTGATATGGAAATCTGTTTACGATGCTAAAACTGTCAGCAGTGAGTTGTGGTGAGTATGTATATTGCTGAGAAATTCGAAAGATGTTGATGGCTGGACTGATCACTGAGTCTAGAATTCCAGTAATTAGTCTGTTAACACTTTTGTATTTATGTTTTTACTGGAGACGCACAAGATGAGACTGCTGAATTTCGTATTTCTCCTAGAAATGTACTATGTTAAGGGAAGAGAAGATGTGCGGCAACTTCTGACTTTGCCTTTCTAGATTTCAACAGGTATTCGATTCTCCATGGAAGATGATGAATCATCACTATGAAATTATTATTTTGTTATGGAAATGGAGGGTGTGGAGTACTTCGTCTTATTTTCTTCGATCTTGATAGACTGACGTGAAGTCAATCAAGTTGAACGATTATCAGATTGTATGTAAAATGATTAGTGAAGAGCCTAAACGATGTGGTTGTTTGATCACAGTTGTTGCTGGTGTCATCTGGTGAAATCATCGACTTGTGAATGTTGCTTAATTATTGACTAGGAGTAGGGTGTCCCTGTATAATGGTAGAAGGAATGGTTAATTATTTATCATAATTTATTAAGTGGTTAGTTATGGACAAGTTTAACCCTTTGATGTATTGGTATTTCAGAAACTGGACCCTACACTACAGGCGTCTGTTAGGTGTAATAATGTGAAAGGAGAGGACTGTTGTGTAAGTGAAATTTGTTCCACAATTTTTTTCAGCTTAATTGGTGAAGATGAATGATAGTCAGCTGTCGTTTTAATCAAATGAGAGAACAGCTCACATGGTTCTCATTGTTATTATTAGTACTGTTATTGGTGTTTGGTTAATCTGCCTAGTAGGTTCCGGGCTTAAAGGCTGCAGGACTCACTGTGACTTGATAAACTGTGTTGTATATTATAAGTGAGTCATTGGCACCACGTAACGGTCCAAGTTGCCACATCTGAAGTGACTAAGAAAGCAGTGAAATGAAAGGTGAAGAAGTGAAGTAAGGAGTGAGAGAGGGAAAAGAGGAATGGGAAACTTCTGAATCGAATATGACGATGACGATGAAGATGAAGATGAAGATGATGTGTAGGTACACCAACGCTACTGTCATATATTCTGAGCTACTGAGTTCTGGTGTCACGTGGATCGTCACCAGCTAGTGTTTATCTCCGAAGATGACTGAAAGCAACAGTCAGTGACATGATGCATTGACGCTATGTTATAATCCGTCATCCTGAGCCTTTTTCTAGGCTGAAGATACTTCAGGCAACATTGTGCTAGGAAGTAGAGAGTGAGTAGGCAGTTGTAATACATTTTGCATCCACGTGAGTGGACGGAGGTTCACAACCGCATCAATCGACTTTCTTCTGCTTCTTAAAGCTCTACACCTGACTTGTACATTATTGGGATGGTGATACCATGACACATGGCCTACACTAGGAAGAGTCGGCTGTAGTGAAACACGTGAATCCTTCTGATGTCGTCCTGCATGTTTCACAAGCATATAGTAGAAAAGAGTGAGTTGCAGGACAATACACTCGACTGTTAATAGACGATTGTCTATTGTGGTGACGCTATCGATTGGTTAAGTTGGTGGAAACCAAATGAGTCCTTAGTATCTGTGCAGAGATTTAATCGGTCATTAAAATATTTGAGTGTGGTTAGAGATGAAGTGAAGTAGAGAACTTTGAGAAGAATTCTAGTTCACCAGTGGAAGAAGAGTGTTTTCGTGAATATGAGTGGTGTAACTGAGAGGGTATTGTATTTGAGACCGGTGCCAGTTACTTTAACCTGGATGATGAAGTAGTGCAGTAGTAGTAGTAGTGGTGGTGGTTTAGTGTTGGTTATAACTTTTTGTGTAATCATGTTATAGATTGGTGAATCGCTTTATATGAACATGCTTTCAACATCGTGGTTTCTTGTTCCTTGATATCTTGCATATTGTTAGTGTAATTAGTAGAGTAAATTTCCCAGGTTTCTAATGTTTCTTTAAATGAATCGAGTGAATGATGAACGCCAACCTGTAATGGAATCAATAAATCCCCAAATTGAATAAATCAGTTTATTTTTTTAACTGGTTTATGATTGAGATTGGAATAGAAAAGCTTCATTATTTGAGTTGATTGTTTTATAGGAGAATGGTTGTTGTCTTAAATTATATCAATTATATTATGAGATGGTAATTATTAATGTTGTTGTCTAGTTCTTAGAGTTAATGAAAAGTTTGCCGATCGAGTTTGTAGTGTAATCACTGAGGTGATTGGTATGACTTGAGTTCATTGTGTTTAGTGTTATGAGTGGAAATTTGTTGAGTATGTGTACGTTGAGCTTATTGGTACATCACTTGGCGAGAAGTATGTACCGTGTTGAGGGAATTCATGTTGCTCAATGAATCAGGAAGTTTACGAGTAATTCTTGTATTCTTCTGTTGTTCACTTTGTCTAGGTTAAAGATATCGAATGTTATTCCCGATTGACAAGTGAATATATTGAACGACTGCAAAAGGAGAATGCTGAACTACGTGAAGTTATCAAAGTTGAACGTGAAAATGCACTTGTGATGAAGTCACCTGTGGTTAGTCTACTTTTTCATCGACTAGGTTGATTGATGTTAAGCCTACAAAACTGTTTCTATTATTGTTTATGGGGAAAAAAAATAATAATTGGAGATTAGGCTTACATTACTGTCTTAGTAATTTGATGAAGTGGCTGATTTTGTTTTGAGATGATTACCACTTCTGGTCGTATGAGATCAATACGAAGTGACTTAATTTTGAAATGATGAAATGCTGTGAGTCTTTGTGGAAGTGGACACAGGAATCCTAAACAGCTGGAATCCGTATGGTACTGTAAATGAGGATTGTTATCAGAAGATAAGCAGTGAATATTTTCAAATGTGTCGCTTGTATAGGGGGAATTGTTGAATCAATTACAAAGAAAATGAACAAGATCCGACCAATGAATGTACAAATAATGTATGGTGAGAATTGAGAATCCACTCGTTCAACACGGAGGGAGACTGGGCAAGTAAATGAAACCAGTTTATACATGAAATGAATGAAGGTGACAGTGTCCTTAGGGTAGAGAGAAATAAATGAATAAAACTGACAATAAATAGGAGGGTAGTGTTAATAGAATGTAAAGAGTGGTTGAGTTAGTGGAATTGCATTGTAGTTTGTTGAAGCGTGAAGATGGACAGGCAGAGTAGATTGCACACTTTGATATCTTGTGAAAGAGTCTAGTGAATTCCGTCATGTGTTTGTCACCACAGTCCCTTATAAAGGACCAGGGTATCCGTAGTCTGGTTTGTATGTCCTGTAGTGTTTTCGAACTGATAGTTCGCTGTGACCTTGTGCCTTGTTAGGTTGATTGTTGTACACAAGACACTGCGGCTGATGTTCTTAGGGCAGTAATGCAGGTTAACTGGGTTTCTAAGTTGAGCATGTAAATTGGTGTTGTGTTTGCTTCATAGACCCGTTTACTGATATGAAGCGTGTGGTTGCTGGGATCTTGAAGATGTACAGCCTGAATGATGTGCTGGGTTTGTGAATAGTGAAATGATACATGGCACTAGCAGATAGTTTTGTTGAAGGAAGTGTTTAGTGATTGAAGAGTGTGCTGACAAAGTAGAATTTTAATGAGTAACAGGCAACTGAATGAATCAGAATTGTAGATGAAGAAAACATTTGAAAATGATAGTGAAAAGTGAGTGTGGTTGATATTTAATAGTGACGTTTGTACAGTGACCTGTAAGATGACTCAGTTTGGTTTACGTGATGTGAGTTTCAGGGCTTGTAGAAGATTTTGGGTAATGTGTGTGAGTCTTTTGTTTAGGCTTAGTTTCATTGTTTGTATGTATTGTGTCATAGAGCCGGGAAAGCGAGACTGAAGCGAGTGATTGTTTTTGACTTGATGTATGATTTGGAAGACGACTGTGTGTTAATGAGTGGTGGAGTGATCCCACTGTTGTTCTATGTATTCGTGGAAATTGACCATTGTAAATAACAGAGGTGGAAAGGCTTGAGTTGGATTCGATTATTTGATAAGTGAAATGCTTGTCATCAACATAGATTGTGGTCTACAGCGTTTTTTCTCTACTATTCTATCGTATGTTCTGTGAAATGTGATGACTTTATATTTTCTGGTTCAGAGTGATCCGTCAACTGAATTACTACAAGGAAGGTTATCTGGGACTCCAGTAGTACGTCAGAATGATGGTACTTTCGTTTTATCAAGCGAAAATGATGATAAGGATGTGAAGTGTATCCGTCTATCAGATAGTAGATGTTCGAGTTTAGTGAACAAGCGTTTACATGCAGATTCTGAAGTGATTGACATTGATGTACATGTACGTGATGTGAAGGTGCAGAAGAAATCAGTGAGTGAATGGAGTCTTCAGTTCACGAATGATGATGGTAATGTAAGTTTGTGTGTGTTTTGTGAGGTTTGTATAACATTTTGTCTTTTGAGAGTATTTCTAATGAATAATTTTATTGCTAAGATTTTTATGAAGATTTTCATCTGTTTTGTTATATCTGGTTTTGTGTGTCAACATTTGAAGGTTGATGTGATTTTGTGAGTAGTTGATAGTGAATTGTATTCGAGTGATTGATGTGAAGCCACTTTTTGATATTCTACTGAGTAGGATAGTTTGGTTTTTTATTTGAAATGTATAAACAGTGTAAGTAACCACATTAAGCGTGTTAGTCAATCATTGTATTGATGTGATAACTGACGGGAGAATAGATTTGGTGGTGGAGAGTCTTTGATGGTTGTCAGTATACCTAACATAATCACTCAGTCAGTCAGTGATTTGTTGAAGTGTATGCAAGGCAAGGCACTTGTTGGATGTGATGGTCACTGATGCCGGCCAAATATACAACTGGTTATCATCAAATGACGTTTACAGTAGACAGGAGTTCGCTGTGTTGAATTGTACAACTGTGAGGTATTGTTGTGTAAATTGGAAAACGCGATGAGGTTATAGGTTTTCAAACGTGTTGAAATCCTTGTTGAGGTTAGGTGGTATAGGGGGAAGATAAGTCAGTTTGATAAAGTTGTGAATCTACACTGACCAATGCCTACCTGAAGGTATAACCTTAGGTGGAGTAGAATTGTGTTGGGAGGAAGCTAAGGGTGGAGAGAGGAATACATGGTAGCAATGATTGGTGAAGCCTAACGCTATCCGGTTGAGTCTTATCGGTTGATGTATTGACCGAGTGTGTGTATGTGTGTGTGTGTGTGTGTGGCCAGCCCTAAGTAGATATCGTCTGGACTCTGTGGTCACTAACTATCTTTTTCATTTTGTGTGAAGAAGACGTAGGTTTCCTGTGGTAGGCAGCTCGGAAGTGTCGGCACTTAACTTCCCTCAACTGACTGTCAACCTCCCACATCCTTACCTTCTAATCTTCGTTCACGCCACTCAATCACTTATCCTACATGATTCTTGATTCCTCCGATTTCTGCAGCCCTCGAGAACGATCTGAATTTACAGAACAGCACTCCAGTTTGCTAAAACCGCTGTGCAAATTACCCATTTGAGCTTTCAATGATGGGACCATCCGAGAATTTGGCCATAAAGAGAGATATTGTCTGACTTTGTTGACACAGATTGCCTACATGGCTGTCAGTCATCGCTTGAAAGATTTGGTGGAAGACTGTCAGTCATTGTGGCGCACCTGCTTGTTCGCGTGTGTGTATAAATGTGTCTCAATGGACGTAGGAAAGCTTTAGCAACAAGACCATTGCAAGTGCAACTGAACAATGAGAGCATTAAAACATGTTTTGGTAAGAGACTAGGTTGATTGGTATCGGAACAGAACAATATCACTCATTCGGAAGAGGTTAATGCACCATCTGCAGCCTGGTGTATAAACAACGTTTAAGATCTTAGTCGTCTGTGAAAGAGTGGTTGAAAAGAGCCGGTAGATATCAGGAGATTCTTTTGAGTGGATACATGGACTAGTCTAGTCATCGATCGGGAACAGTTGTGTGCTGTGTAGTGAAGTTCAAAGAAATTGAAAGGTAGTAGAAGTAGGCAACAGTAGACAGTTATTACAACTTGTTGAGGAAAGCATGGTGCTAAGGTCAGTGGTTAACGAGAGTTTAGAGGAGATGGATGAGTTTGTAATTAATTTGTGGGGGAGATGACTGGAAAGATTGATGGAACACTTTGACAAGCAGTTCAGCTCATCTCTGGCTACTATTGGGTTGCCCAGTATGCAGTCAGATCCTGAATGGAACATTGAGATTGGCCTCCAAGACTTGGAGAAGTCGAGAAAGCGGTAGGTGGCTTGAATAACAAGGAGTATCAGACGAAGTGCTCCTAGTCGTATTTAAGGACAATGGTGAAGTTGTCTGAATTGTGTTAACTAGTGGATGGGAGTCGTATAGGAACTCTTGTGAATGGTTTCATTCGTTGATTATCCCAGTGTTGAAGAAAGGTGAGAAGTCCTGTGATAACGACAGAGGAATCAGCATGAGGAACATAGTGTTTAGGATTCTCGGTTGTATTAGTATAAAATGTGAGTGGAAGTTGAGAGCAGCAGGTTTGATAAAATCGGATAGGCTTGATACCTGAGTGTAGGTGTATCGACTACAGTCCTCCAGGTTTTGGAACACAGGCTTACTAACGGATGCCTGAGTGAAGCTTTACTTCTCGTAGTGAATGTGGCATTGCATCCCTTGTATCGAGAGGTCTTATGGCAGTGTCTGTGACTGAGAGAGCTCATGGTGAGGTCTGTGTGTATGTCGAGTGGTGTCTTTCAAGGTTGTTGACTGTCTCCATTCCTGTTCTTTTTTGTCGTAGACGTTTTGATGGTGTTCTTCCTCTCGTCATCTGACATCACAGGGATTGATCTAGTGACTGAAGAGTTGTTGATAGGTTTAGAATAGGTAGATGACATAGTGTTGTTAGTTGAAGAGTCTGACAAGGTGCAGAGCCATCTGAACACCTTGAGTATAAATTTAAGAATGTTTGGGATGCGTTTGACGCCAGCGAATGCCAATTGTTGCTGTGTCAGTGGTCTTTAGCGATGGCGCAAGTAACAATAGAGAATGAAGTAGGATCAGTGGCTGATGAAATCTGTGCACTGATACAAAATGCCTGATTGATTTTGCTAGATTACACCACGTAAAGCACTGGCATGACATCCTATTGTCTATTAAGGGTCGAGTGTACTGTCGTGCAGTTTGCTCTGTTTGACTTTATGTCTGTGAAGCATGACCATTAAAGAGGTAGAGGACATGATAAGGCTTCAGGTGTGTTTGACTACTGTTGTCATCATAGCATATGCCACGTGTGATGGTGTCGCCATGTGAGTGATGCAGAAACCAAGTGTAGAGGAGAGGGAAGTCAGTGGATGAGTTCATGAACCTTCATCGAATCAGGTGACTGGGAAATGTGTTACACATGCCTAGTACTGTTTGTCTCGTCACGTTAGTGTTGCTGGAATATGTTGAGGCTGGAAGAAGGCACAGGACGTTCGGACTAAAACATGTAATTAGTCTCTGAAGTGCTTGACCTTCATTTGTGAATTGGTTTTGGTGTGACACATATTTTTCTTTGTGTATTCCTTCTTTTACATTTCTTTGTTACATGCTGGTGTGAAGTGTGGTATCTTCAAATGGATGCCCTTGTGTTTCTTGTTCTTAGTTGGGTTATCTATTTGTGTATGGTTTTAAGTTAGCATAAAGTGTGTAACTTTTCAAACAACTTAGGGCGCCAGTGGATTTAATCCACACACTGACACAAATATCTTTGTGCAGGTCTAGTGAAGGTTCTGTCAATTATCCTATCACTTGAAGTGTTATACAACAACACATGAGGGGGGGGATGATAGGTGTTAGTTTAGTATGTGTTGGGCCATGATCGACTTAATAATGTTTCACAACTGTGGTCGTATGAATACGGTACACTCAAGTTGACTAGAACATATATGTATATGGGTTGGAAATTGGTGAATAGTCAGTGATGAAGTGTATTTGAGAATGATGACTTGTGTTTAAGACTTTTGTGTCAGCTCTACGTCATCACTAATGCAGAGTGAATCAACTCATCGATACAACAAAGTGTTGTATAGGTTGAATGAAAAAATCTATGCTGAAGTAGTATATGAAAGTATGAAGTCACAGAGCTGGAATATTCCTTGGAGTACGATGGAAAGTGGAAGCACCCTAACCCTAAGAGAGGTTGTTTTTTTCTTTCGATTGGCAAGCCGTGGAATAATATAATTCTAGATGTTAACCGCATGAATGGCGTTCTCTCATAGTTTCAGTTTGTTTGATGAATTCTCAATATTTTTAAAAGGGTAGTTTGTTTATCACTGACTACTAGTCAGTTTAACTGAGTTGACCTGTTGAATTCAGGTTGGTCAACTGATATTTTTCTCGTCAACTATGAAATGTGTTGGATAATTATTACTGTCACTGTGCACCTCTATATCACCTCTATATCTCATAAAATGTTTTGTTGATGATGTGCTTAAACTTTGAAGTGTTAATGTTCTGTTAGTTTGTTCAGTTTTTATTTTAGGTGTTTTTCCACAGTCTTCCCCCCCTCCATTAAAAATTGTTTTGTACATAAGAGTAAATATCATGTTGATGGTTTTCTCTGTCTACTAGTTAGCTACGGATGATGATACGCATCGATCTCGATGTAAATGTCGTGGAGCGTGTCAAGCTCGATGTAGTTGCAGGCGTTCTGGTCGTCCATGTACACCATCATATTGTCAATGCATTATGGGCAAGTGTCAAAATCGTATTATG